GTGCCAGGCTGGCAGCATCCGTAACCATCCTCCGCATCTCCGAGCTGCCACTCAAGCATCTTCCACCCAAATCAAACGATTGGCAGAATTATTAACACGAGATGTGCAGCTGTTATCTGGGGGTGACCTTCGGCGAGGGGAAAGCGGGGGGGACGCGCCTTCTCCCCGGCTGTTCGACAGGCACCCGGCTTCCCATCTGCCGCCGTGCAGGCAGCAGGGGAGTGGGCAGCGGGTGCGGGGGAGGCTTGCTCCGTGCTTTTTGGCCACCGGAGCCAGCAAAAAAAGATTGAAAGATGCCAGGTAATATTAATCACGTTAAATGTCAGCGGACGGGGAGTGGGAGGAGGAGGCGGGGGGCCAGGGCAGCCACGTCGGCGTGCGCTCACTCGAGCTGTAGCCCCAGGTCGGCAAACACTTTGATTTACGTAAGGAGATCAGAGCCTCATTTGCTAATGCACCGGTAAATCTGGGCCCTGCCGCTCCCCTCGGCCGCCGGCATGCCAGTGCCCACCTTAGCTGCTGGGGGGTCATGGGCAGGGCAGTGGGACTATGCCACCGGCACACCCCAGGGATCACGATGCTGAGCCTGCTGCACACAGGCAGCGGCTCCATCCCCTTCCCTGGATCCACGAATCCACCCAGCCTGCCCGCAGCTCCTCCCTGGCTGCCATCGTGGGACGCTCACTGCCATGGGATGGCACACATGCTGGGTTTTTTGGACCCTGCCACCTTTTTGGACCCAGGCGGGAGCTCGGGGGTCATTAAACTCCAGGAACGAATCCATCAGCCTTCCCTCCTCCTCCTCACAGGAGAAGAGCTCACTGCCGATCCCGACACCCTCAAACCGATCCCGACACCCTCAAACCTCTCTCGGGGCCATCACGATTTGGGACTCCTGATCCCACTCTGCCAGAGGCAGGAGGGAGGTCCCAGCCAGCCTGCTCCCATGTCCATACCCCTGGGTTTCATGGCAGGCGCCCGGGGGGCACCCCCGCACACACACATGCGCACC